AAAGCGGAAGTCTAACACAATTTGGTTTACATAGCCAAATTTCACCAAAAAATATTAGTAAGAGATAATGTGAGTATTTTAATCGACTTTAAGAATTTATGTACGTTATCTCATATCTTTTTTTGTGCATTTTGATAATTATTTTTGTTCATTTAAAATCTGGTGCTTCTCTTGTGGTCCCATGTAAATTTGATCGGGATCTTACTAGTAGTTTTTGAGTTGTCCTTAATAATGTGTATTTCATTGACTTTGAATGCATTGATGATGTTCTCATTTTATTTATATTGAACTCGGTTGCGCAAAGTTTTTACTTTTGCCCCTTGTATAAGTTACCTCACAATATCACTATATTATGTTACTAAAACTTGGAATGTCTTAGTGTGAGACTCCTGGACGATCAAGGACGCTTATAGAAAGTTATTGAAATATATATGTAGGCGTGATTGTGTATTTATTGTTCGTCTATGTGTGATAGCTGCGAACTGGCAACACGCATCCTCATATTAAAAGACAGTACAAAGCATTTCTAGTGCCTTATTATTTAGATTTCTGTGACCTTTATCGGTACGAAGTATTTTTATACAAGTAACGGTGAGATACGATTACACAGTCCACTAGATTGTAAGTGAAAGTTTTCCCGGTTCTCGTCACTTCACCATAACCTCGTTAATACATCCCATCACAAGTGCACTGCTGAACATAAGTCTCTCCCTAGAAATGTCAAAAAATTCAGTCCTGAGCCACTTGCATCAATCGTCTTCTTGCATTATTACCAGGTTTTAAGTCCATCGAGTGGGAAGACGTTTTACACTTATTAGTACGACACTACGACATATCTCCACATATCTTCCACTTACGTTTTGTGTGTCAAATTTGTAAAACAAAAAGTAAATTAATTTAATAAAAATTTGGCAAGTTACTAACCACTGGTTTATTATTTAACTAATACACAAGAAATAAAAACCATATTTTTCTGCTTATTCTGGATGATAAAATTGAAAATAGAAAAGAGCTGGCAGTGCTTACTCTTTTAAAAGAGAAAAGATAAAAATGAGTTAACAGACATGTGATGTTCGCCAAACACGCATTGGGGCAGCGCGGTGGACGATTTCTTGCCCTAAAAACCCTCTCAGAAATGAGCGGAGACCTGTGCTCAGCAGTGAGACGTATATAGGCTGTAACTTTACTTTACTTTACTTTACTTTTAATGAAGGATATTACCAGCGTAGATGATCATACACACTTTCAAATAAACTCACAGTTTTATAAAACTTTTGTAGAATTGGAATTTAAATTCAGTTAAAAACGAAAATTTGTTTGTCACCTTCTCTTCTAAGCTTCTAATAAATTTAAAGTAACACCAGTTAGCACAAACAAACAACTTAATTCATTATGGGAACAGTCTGAATAAATTTTCCTCCGTACTGCTAACTGTTACGAAGAAATTTTATCTTTGTTTTAGCTAACGAATAATAAATTCATAGGTATGTATAAATTTTGTAATAACTTAAGGCGATGACTTAGTTAACGTTTACGGGATGCGATTTCTATTTTACGGAGCAGTTCATCCTAATATGTATATACATATGCAAAAACCTTACCTACCTTGTGATAAATAAAGTTTATAACACAAATTGAGAACGTTTTTTTTAATATTATTAGAGGAAGCTAACGAGCATGCGGCTTACTAGCCAGTATTATAGTTGTGAGGTATTTAGGAAGTAACAACGCATCTGAGACCTTCGCTTGAAACTGATAGCAAGTGTCCATAGGCTGCAATAGCCCCTTATTAACAGGTGGACTGTTATTTTGCGTGTTATTCTAATATTTTTTTTACTTTTTTGAGCATGCGGCTCAATTGATGGTAAGTCAGTATAATAGTTTGTTTGCTATTTCAACTGTCTTTAGAAGTATCAATGTATTTGAGGCATTTTTCGCTTGAAATTACTTGCGGGAGCCCAAGGAATTCCGAAGTCACGTATCATCAGGTGTACTGTTATATTTTTTGTTACTCTAAGCTTTATTTATTCCTACAGAAGAGGGGGCAAACGGGCATGTGACATACCTGATGATGAGTGAGTACCGCCGCCCATGATAATCTGCAATACCAGAAGACTCTTTTCTCGAAACTACTAGTGACTTACCTTTCCTTGTAGAGGATAATCATGAAATAGTATTATTTGCTGATGATACTTCCATGGTCTTGAAACTTAAACATCAATCACTATGTGACAAAATGAATAATGCAATATCAAAATTATTGCATTTGTTTAACGATAATATTCTACATTTAAACGGAAATAAATCTAAATTTATTACATTTACAACACCGAATGATAAAAATCTGAATACCAATAAGTTTTTATATGTGAAAGAACTAAGCCCTGTTGAATCCACTGTTTTTCTGGGCATCACTCTCGATTAAAGCTCCAGTATATCCAACCTATCAAGCAGACTAAGTTTTACAGAATATTTAAAGAAGATTACTCCTCCACCAGTGCCGAGACAGCTAGATTAGTTTATGTCAGTTATTTCCATAGCATAATTGGTGTCTTATGCGGTATTTTTACTATGGGGAAATGCAGCTCATTTAGAACCATTTCTGTTTTGCAGAAGAAGGCCATAAGAGCTATTTGCAACTGAAAACCGAGGTAGTCTCTTAAAGAAAAAGTTAAAAAATATAACATATTAACTTTGGCCTCTAATTACGAAAGTTTAATGTATGTTCACAAAAACAAAGATATTCTTAGTAGTAAAAAATTGATACATACTCTGTAAACACTACGAATCACTACAAGCTAGTGATATCTTGGGGCAATATATACGCAATTAAAACAAAGTTCCAAAAAATATACACGGTCTCTATATTACCAAGATTAAATAATTTGTTAATCAAAAACTGTACAATAAGGGTTACTATAATATAAATAAATACATGGTTTATAATAATTCCTGGGAATGAGGTGGTCGCTTCGAAGCTGTTTTTAAAATAAATTTTGTAAAAATTTTGTACAATCTTTCATATTGTTACTAGCTTAGGGTTCGTGACAATAAAAACTGTCGATTGAATTACCAAAATTGACACTTTTATTACTGAACACCAATTAAAACTTAAAAGACACTTATAATTAATAACACTGATTCACTTTATTTTGCTCCGAAACTTCGCTTGTATCGCTAATTTAATACTGCCCCGATCGCGGCTTGCAAGGGCTTTAAATACGCCTTTCCACCGAAACATACAGAATGTTCCAGTAAATACCGGTCCTGACCGACTAAGTTCAGAAAGTTCGAGAGTGGACCCTTCCAGAAAGCTTAATTCTTCTGTTCGATACTAGATGGCGCTTTTGGTGGAAATTTCAAGATTGATATTTTCTAGGAAGCCCTCCTCGCTCTGTTCCCCGACACTAGATGGCGCTAGTGCCAGGGACCAGGCATCAACTTAGGCGCGCAACAATATTGTAAAATTTACTTGTAAAAATTCCCGCTGGATTTCTTGTTGGTTCTTCCCAGAACAGAAGTTTTGTTTCGAATCAGTATTAATGTAAAAAATTACTTTCGATAATAATAAAATGACTTTTAAGAGTAAAAATTTTTTATATTATACTTCAAATCATAGTGTGAATTTGACTGATTATAATAAGGCTTCAAAACACATGTATTCTACTAAACAATCTGGAATGACTAATGTGACATATTGTTATGTAATATCTGCTACAAAAACACTTAAACGGACATTAACCTATGTACTTCTACATGAGACTATCTTCCTCTCCTTGAGGGTAGATTCTGTAAGTTCAAATTCGGACGGTAATAATTGTTTTCGTTTATAATCGTATCAATATAATGCACTTCAACATTAGTGAACTTATTACTAAATCAGATATGTTGACTGTTTGTTTCGATGATGTAGCAGAGATAGGCAAAACAAGTGATGTGTTATGTTTCACCGAACACAATACGCACCTTTAAAGTAAAACCGTTACTAAATGAAAATTTTCATGAATTGAGTTATCAATGCCATCTATGTAAAATATACGTAAACTACAACATAAACTGTCATTTTTGTAAAATATTGTATTTTACGCCACCTAGCGGTAAATTAAACCGTTACTAAACCGAGTTATGATCGGCTCGCGAAATACAATATTGTGTCTATATCAGTAAGAACATGTTCGTAGAAGAGTGATAACGGAAGTTTAAAGTAACAGTGTTGTTATTTGGATAAACACGGCTGTATGTCACAGAAAAGGTAAGTTGTTAATTTGTTTTAATGGGAAAAGTGTTTCAATTTGTTTAAACACAGTTTTTGTGTTATGACATTACGCAATTCATAATAAAATTTCATTGATAAAATGTTACTGTTTGTATAGTCACAGTTTGCTTTTTATTTTTTAGGTATTATTCCAATAACGTTTATCTATACAGAGTAACCATTTGTTTAGTTACAGTTTTACAATAAGTAAAGAATAAATTAAATCATATCCTTATTTACAATAGTGGGACATTTATGTTAGTCACAGTTTATTTCTCTACGCAACGTAAGTGTGCATAAAAATTTTAGAAGTAAAATATTACATTTTGTTTAAATTCCATCTAGTATTAAAATGTACTTCATAGTTTATGAAACAGTTAATAATAAAGTTACACATTTCTTTTAGTATCACTTTACTAATAATATAAATAAAAGTTGTACTTAAAGTAACTAAATTTATTTAAGTTAAAATGTCAATTATAATAATTACACGATAATAATAATAAAACCACTTGCTTCAGGTCATGGCGCATTTACGGAACCCACGTTTGTCACGCATTTTGGAGGCTATGGAATCTAAGAAAGATTCCGTAAGTACTGAAAACCCCAAACTAATATCCATGGACGACCTGGATTATAATTTTACACGCGATGCAAATCCGATTACTGTCGATACTTGTAGATCTCCTTCTTTTATTACAAAAACAAGCACTACCTCAGTCCGTTAGTCATACTATGGAAGCTAATGTTCAACCAGTTGATGACGGAATACCAAATCCATTTGAGCGGTACTGGTTTTCAAGAATTAACTCCAGAAGAAGACCTTACCAGACCAGGTCCTAGCAGTAGAGCAAGATCCAATTCAACTAGCTCGAAATCATCTTCAAGTTCATCATCTTCAAGTTCATCATCAACAAGTTCATCTACATCATCTTCATCTAGTGCGTCTGAATCGGGTAAGGACTTTTCCCCTGATGAGGCAGATTGTGATGCTGATTATGTACCAACAACCCCACCTAGGCGTGTATTATTTAGCCCAACTCCTCAAAATAGTATCTCTGTACAACTAGTTGATGAAAATAATTTGGGTCCTCCAGAACAAAACAGAACTCCGAACAAACGAAGGCGTAAAGGATTTCCAAAAGCATCCGTGAGGCAAGATGCTAAAAGACTTCGTAATAGTGGGCAACAACATACTTCTGTGTCCCAGTTAAAAAAAGTCATGCCAAAGAAGCAGATAGGACCCCCATGTGGGGAAAAATGTAGACTAAAGTGCAGCGAATTGATCAAACAGGAAGGCAGATAAATTATTTTTGACAATCATTGGAAAATGGGAGATTTATCTAGACAAAGAGATTATATTGCAGAGTGTATTAATGTTATTACACCTAAGTATCAATATAAAGTACATAATAGCAATAGAGGACCTAAACATTCATTTTCATTCGAGATTAACAATATTAAGCATCGTATCTGTAAAACATTCTTCAAGAACACGTTGGCCATTAATAATCGACCTATTGCAACTGTAACAGCAAAAAAGAACCAAGCGGGAACGATTGAAGAAGAAAAAAGGGGTAAACATGGAAAACAGTACAAAATAAGCTCAGATATAATTAAAGGAATAAAAAACCACATAGACTCAATCCCAAGAATTGAATCTCATTATGTAAGACAACAAACGACTCGTGAATTTATTGATGGGGGCAAAAACCTTACAGATCTTTATACCGACTACCAAACACAATGCTTGAGTGATGGTGTTGAAGCTGCTAAAATTCATACATATGGAAAAGTGTTTAATGAAGATTACAACATTGGCTTTCACACACCTAAAAAAGACCAGTGCGAACTATGCATTAGCTTTAAAAACGCTGTTGATAAAACAATAGAATTACAAAACAGATACGACCAACACCAGCTTGAAAAAGAATTATGTCGCCAGGAAAAGTCAAATGACAAAACGATGGTTAAGGAAAACTACATTGTTGCCTGTTATGACCTCCAGGCAGTGTTGCCTCTTCCGAAAGGAGATGTTTCTACTTTATATTACAAGTGTAAGCTCAATATTTGTAATTTTACTATAAATGTATTAGCGAAAGACTATTGTGATTGTTTTGTCTGGAGCGAGGTCGAGGCATTAAGAGGAGCTAACGAAATAGCAACGTGTGTTTGGAAGTATTTGACAAAGAGGGCATCAGAAATAAATGACAATAATTTACGAATCACATTTTATTCCGATAATTGCTGTGGTCAGCAAAAGAATAAGTTTATGTTTTTTATATATTTATATGCCTTATCTGTTCTTAAAATTAAGTCTATTACGCACAAATATTTAATTAGTGGGCACACACAAAACGAAAACGATTCTGTTCACTCTGTGATAGAAAAAGCTGTTAAAATGTACTTACGTTCTGGTCCTGTGTACACACCAGATCAATACGTGACCATTATCAGAACTGCACGAAAGAAAGGCAATCCTTACAATGTTACCGAAATGTGCTATTCAGACTTTGTTGATATAAAAAATCTTACAGAGATATGCGGTGCTCAATTTTCAAAAAATACTGAAGGCAGAACAGTTAAAATGAGTGACACTAAAATAATGAAATTTGAAAAACATCAAGATTTCGACCACGTTAGCATTTATTATAAAACTTCCTACACAGATACAGATTTCAAAGAAATACAATTCCGTAACAATCGTTCGTCTCGAACACGTACTAGCACTGATCTTCAAGATTTCCAGTTGAAGCCTTTATATCAGTCTAGATTAAAATTAAGTGATAGAAAAAACAGCGACCTAAAGAGTTTAATTAACAGTAATATAATACCACAGAGTTACGCATTGTCATATTACAACAGCATCTTGTTTTAGCAATACTAAAACGAGATGTTATTGTAATAAGACAACTTATTATTGATGATTATTGATTTAGAAAAACAATGAGTATAACATTATTTTTAAGTTTTTTACGAGATTAATTTTTTATATAACATTTTATATGGCAATAGGTTTGCCTCATTATTCTAATTAAGTGATACCTACAAGTCAACATAACTTTGATTAGCCCTGAGTAGCTTTGGTGGATAGGGAAATAATGCTGTGATTGTAACTTTGTTAAATTAAGTATAATGCTATTTCCAATTGGTTTGTTCCTCATCAAACTGATTGTAAATATAACATGCTGTGATTTAAAGGTACAAATTTCTCAAGACTGATTGATAAATAACTATGTCAAATGATTGTATGGATCTCTCTTTAAATTATAATAAAACACTATTAATTTTGGAATATTTTTTTATTTGGTAATATTATAACACCACAGCAAATGCCAATTTTATGATTTTTAATTTAAATGTTAAATAATATTATTGTATTTATGAAATTTTAATAGTTTTCTATTTAGTAACATCAGTTGCACTGTAATTTCATAGTAATATACCATAATGAACAAATTATAAATGGTAAAGTGTTACTATAATAATATAAATCAAAATAAATAATACTGTAAATGAAAAAAAGTTACTTTCGTAAATCACGTGTCATAATGTAAACAGAGATCTATAATAAGACCTCATTAAATGTCTTAAAGAACCCTACACTCAGATTTTATTGACAAAAAATGGTGACTTTTTTCTAATATTGGCTCTCCTGTAAATTTTTATAATTTCGTTTAGTAACGGTTTTACTTTAAAGGTGCGTGGTATACGATAATATTAAACTCCAAATCCCTAAATATGTTTTAGTCTCTTATTTTTCTCGTAAAAAACGTTTCACTAGGATACATGTATCCCCCACATGTATCCTAGTGAAATGTTATATGAACTTTACTGTAATAAAATCCATTCATAAATTTAATATCGCCAACGTAATCGATTGTTGTGCTGTTGAATTAGTAGATCATAAAATGGTTATAGTCTATCATATACTTAGAGTACCAAAGAGCGAAAACTCCAGTAAATATCTTGACATATTTTACAATAGCTTAAATGACATTCCATATATTTTGACTAAAAATGGTACAAAAAAAATAGTCGTCTGTGGTGACTTTAAAATTGATATATCTGATAAAGAATAATAATGTCATGAAGCTGGAGCATCTCATTATTGTATTCAACTTAAAACAATCATTCAAAGAACCGACAAGACCAAACAGTAGTTTTTGTATTAACAACTGCTTTAATAATATACATGGAACTAGATTTGATCTCTTGGAATAAGGTTTATCCGACCATAAAGCCCAATTTTTATACTGTCCTGTAAAAACGACCAGTTTATTTGACTACTGGTTCTCATATAAACAAGATTATTCTGAGTATAATTTGAGATAGTTTAAATAATGCCTCAGTGAGCTATGAGAAATTCAGTGAAATGTTTGAAAACAATGACGCAAATACAGCTTTCACGTTGTTTTAAGATTTATTTAGATTATTTTATAACTTAACTTTTCCTATATTTAAAATTTAAAATAAGACAAAAATTCGCCAAAATAGCTCGCTTTTGGAATCAAGAAATGTAGCAAACGTAAACGTACACTTCTATGGAAATACAGATTATCTAAGAACCTCAAAGATAAAAAACATACTCTAAGAGGTACAATAAAATTATTAAATTAACTCAAAAATCTCAGAATTTTTATTCTATCCCACTTATACAGCAATCTGTCGTGGACATTTAGCTGTTTCTTTGTCTGAGCTATGTCTGATTATTTCTTTCTTGAAGCAGGGGGAGTTGTCCATTGACCATTCCCACTATTCTTTGGTAAATCGTTTCACAAGATTTGGAACGTTATTCCTTCTCAGTCTTGTCTACACGGTACTTCCAGAACCCATTAATTTAGCAGCCAGCCAGCGTTAACATGTGAAGTTAATTTTTGTTGGTATTTTAAGCTTCGAGCAGCGATTTCTTGTTTCACAGTGTTGAGCCTCAAGTAGTGCAGAATATATTTATAGTGGATGCATTTTGGAATGTTGAACATAGATCTAATAGCTTTAGTCTGAAATCTTTCCAGGATTTCTATGTTGCTATTACTTGCTGTTCCCCAAAGTTCTATTCCGTATGCCCATACTGGCTTCAAAATAGTTTTGTAAACTGCTATGTTGCTTTCGTTTGTTAGCTGAGACTTTTTGCCAATCAGCCAATACATAGATCTTAATTTTGTGTCCAGGGCTTTTCTTTTGCTCCAGATATGTTTCTGCCAAGTCAACCTCCTATCCAGATGCATACCTAGGTATTTCGCGGCACCATCGTGTGGGATTTGTTCTCCGTTCAGTGTAATTGGTGGACAGTCGCCTTTTTTTAGAGTGAAGGTGACGTGAACTGATTTGCTTTGCCTTTATTCTCCATATTTTTCAGCCATTTTTCTATCTCATCAATATGTTTTTGGAGATGTGCTGATGCGATTGTTGGGTTGGCATTAACTGACATTATTGCAGTATCACCAGCGTATGTGGCAATAAAGGTTTCATCATCAACAGTGAATATAAGATACAGTATAGGCCCTAATATGCTCCCCTGAGGTACCCCTGATTTCATTTCCCATCTGATTTCAAACAGATAAGAAGTGGTGTTGTTCAGTTTAACTTCATAGCATCTTTTGTTTAAGTAGCTTTTCAGTAAAAAGTAGAAGGTATGCGGCAGCTGTTTTTTGATCTTGAATAAGAGGCCATCGTGGCAGACTCTATCAAATGCCTGACTTATACCCAGAAACACAGCCGAGCAATATTTCTTATTTTCAAGCGTATAACCGATGGTATCTGTCAATCTGTGAACCTACTCAATGGTTCCATGCCTTTGTCTAAATCCAAATTGATGCCCAGGAAGAATAGCATTCAGATGAGATTGCATTCTATTGAGGATAACTTTTCGAACAATTTCCCTACCAGTGGAAGGAGACTTATTGGTCTGTAGGATGAGACTTCTTCTGGCTGCTTTCCAGGTTTGAGGATCATTACTACTTGAGCAATTTTCCACTGTCCCGGGAAGTGGGAGAGTCTTATAGATGAATTGAAGAGTATAAAAAATATATTATGCCACTCCTCGGAAGATTGCTTAACATTTATTAGCCTCTTGGAATGTTATTCATGACAATAAACTAAAACTACCACCTGAAAATATTAAGGAATTAATAATAGGTGATCATATAATTACAAACCCTCAGCAAATAGCAAAATATTTCAATAATTACTATGCAGATTTGGTTAAACTTCAAAATATAAGTAATCTCACCAAAAAGTAAACATGCACGTATAATTCGTCATATTCTTTTTTTAAGTCCCGCTGATCGCTATGACATTTCTTCT